GCGCGGAGCGGGGAGTGCACAAAGACAGCACGTTTGTAATTGACAGCGTACAACATGATTTTTATTCAGATAGCCAATACACCAGCGGAAGCAAGCGGCGTTTGTATGGATAGAACTCGACAAGTGTTTCTATTGATTCACGAGAACCCGGTTAGGATCGAGGGAGAAATATGGTGCACTCTCACATGTAAAAAAGACGAGGAACAAATGTAGAAATAATGGTCAGCAGAACAAAAGTGCGTCGTGAATCGATACTGAGCTAAGGACAGTGTTAGACCAAAACTCGAATGTTTGAGGTTCGGAATGCGCCTGTTCACTCTTACCCGTTAGAAGTGTGTAGAACGTTACGCGTGGCAGTTTTTTACATCAGGTAGACGGTATTGAGTTTATCTTGCACCATACTCAGTACGTTGAAGATGAGTGGTCAACCCGAAATAAACTTTGATGAATATCGAGTTTTAGCAAATGTTTATGCGATTCATCTAAAAGGGTTATGTTTGACGATTAAATAAACGTTGTGAGCTCTGTTATACCCATCAGAATGTATCGGTAATCTGAGCATTCCTAAAGAACACAACATGGAGACGAAAAATGCCAAAGAAATTAGTTTTTAGTACTAGAAAATCTTGCAAATAGAAATAAATTATGCGATGGAAGTGTTTGTGATAGCCAGCAAAGAGCACCGGACAGCTGTTTCGCCCTATTTGGGACTCGTTAGCAGTGCGTACTTTTTGTGTCCCTGTCCATCAAGAGTACCTGGTGCCTCTGAACAATCGAATGGGCTAATCCAAGCTTGATACTCTAAACAGAAATAAATTACCACTGACAATTTCAATCGTGACCTTGACAGAAGAATGCGGGTAGCAAAAGGATTCTTTTTTCCTCCGGTAATTCAGCTCTATCTATAACACAAAGTGTCTAAGCAATTATGTGCTGATCAGGTATTACGGATGTGATGAATTCAACTCAGGTGATCTTTTTATACATCTCTATGGCTGAATATGTAGTGGGTCTAGCCTACGGAATAACATCAGCCACAGGGTGATGCGTTACAGCTTCCGGACAATGAAGCACAAGTCAATCGTGCCTACCAATCAGAAGTCGTGCGGTTCAAACAAAAGCAAGTTGACGTTCCGAATACAAGCAGGCCATTGATGGAAACCTATGTAACCAATAAAATTCCTTTGCACATGTTATTTAATTCCACTGATCTTCCACTATAAACTAACCACTATTTCTGTGACCATTTTCCTGCGTGTAGGTGACGGGAGATCCCAACGTATTATAATGCCAGTCATGTAAAAAGAAGGCCAAAACAAAGAGTTACTCAGGGTACCAAAAATAAGCCTTCTTCCGTTGTAGAATGCGTTCGTAACGTGACCAGGTTAGATGAGTTTGTGATGAGAGATGACTGTTGGCCTACATGATCATTGAAGACAAGTGAGAGAGAACGTGTTTCGGCGTATTTACAACTTTTTAAAAGAGAGAAAATGTTGTTGATACGCATATGGGATTCATTCCCCAGTTCCGATGTGGTGACCAGTCTATAAGTTCCTTCGTATCAGCATGTACGGTAGTCTGAGATCGTGAGTTGAGGTGGGATGAGCCAAATATCACGTCCTTATTACACAGAAGTGACAAGTTAAACATAATCATAGAAGATACACCATCGGAAAATAGGAGTATTGATAAAATAGCCCCCTGTATTTCGCCTTGTGTTGAGCGCAGCAGTGAGGATGCGCAGTCTTGCTACTGTGTGAACCGTTATTGGTTTTTGAGATAACTGGTCAGACGTGGGATGTTGATAACAACCACAGGAAAACGCTATAAACAATTTCTTTTGATCAGCTTTGTTGAAGCCATCAGTGTAGTTCAAGAAACGCACATAGACGGCCGTCACTTTACTACTGAGGAGAATAGAATTATTCGACCGAAGGGTGCCAAAGATATCTTAAGAATGAATATTAGCAAAATGGTATCTCTCGTTGACACGGAAGTGGGTGGGTAGTCTTTTGAACACCTGAAGGACAACTGTGGTGTAGCTAGCTGAACGAAATGCCGATGAGCGTATCGTCGGTACCGGGGTGAGAGTTGATCCTCAACAGCCGGGAATACTTTTCTGTGAAAGTCCTTGACTAAAGCGTTTAGTCAATACAGGGAACAACAAGAGGAAGAATTTCTTCAGGACAACAGGCGAGACTCTATTAGAACTTCCTATCTTGTCGTGGTTCATCCGGGTCAGTTCCGGATGAATATTCTGAACAGCAATGGGAGTAGTTGAGTTGACCACGTTAATACATCATTCGTTTGGCATCAATGGAGACGGAAGATCAAGGTTGATGAAAATACGATATCGTCCATCTACATTCATAGCACTGAAAAGATAGAAGGTAGTTTGGTTGCGAAATACTTGAAAATGTTTTTCATCGGGGATTAGGAAAAGACTACAGACAAATAAGGAGGGTTGGAGAGAAATAAAACGGTTCAGACTGGGTAATTTGGAGTTAAGTTTTAGAATCAAGAACTGAGTCAGAGGTGATTTAGCGTCTGGTCTCAGGCCTGAGCCATTGTGACTGGAGGGCTTCGACAAACTGGTTTGGCGGTTGATTACCAGGAATATATTTCTATTGCTTTCGTCATTACTTGGTGCCGCTGTTAGACCATTTTATGATTTCAAGAGCACCTGCCAAAGGATTTTGAACGCACATTCATTCACATAGTGTTCAGTATTCACGAAATACATCGTTATTGCGTTGGGTATAGTTCACCCTGTTAACCCAAGCGGTTTATGTTTCTTGATTCTTCGACAAAACTACCTTACCGTTATACTTACTCAGCCTAGTCAACGTAGGGAAACAAACAAAAGACAATCAGATAAGGTTATCATTCGCAGAATAACTGCGGTTTATCCAGATGCACTTCACTACCACATCTATGCGTTGACTGAATTTTATGGATAAGCAGCCGATCCCCATTCATTCTATGAAAATCAACTGTAGATCTAGATTTATACTGATCAGAAATTTGGGATCACATGCATATAACATCACTATGTGTTTAATTGCGCAAAAGCAGCAGACTCCCGTTGCTGAACAGGTAACAGTGTACCCTAATTCACGTGTATCTCTAGTCCCAGATGAAGTCATGCCGTGTTACCTGATGCGATATCTTCTACAGACACTATTTTATATCTGATGTTCGGATTTTCTTCGCTAAACTACATTCTTGTGTGACTATTCTCGTTCATCTCAAAAGGGGAATTATTGACGTGATATACGCGTTCAGCTCCGGGCAACCCCAATTCACTCTGACGTTCCCTGAAGCTTAGTGTTGTCTTTCCTTCCTTCACACAACATTCACTTCAAACTCGTTAACTTATTCATACTTTTCAATATGCTGCCACCCTACATCGTTCTCTTTTTCTAAAGCATTTCTCGTTCTTTCTGTATGACAGTCACTTGCGACTGTATGTTTCTTTGATTTTAAACCTGAGTGATATCGATCATTATAATACTGTAAATATAGTCATTTTATTGTCGCCAAATACCACCTGTATGTATGTATTCCGCACACCTGATCCGACTCTTATTCGATTCGTAGCACATGTTCAACATTTCTGTGTGGTCGCCAGTTTTCCCCTTCCCTGTTTTAGCTTCCTCATAGTGTTAAACCTACATAGCATGAATCTAGGAGGATGACCAACTTTATCTGCAAAAAATGATCTTACACCTTTCAACTTTCCCCTCCTTGCATGGCTCATATTCGTTCCAATTACGTGCAATGCAGCCAGTTATTGCGCAGGGTTTTCTCTTTTTCTAGTTCACTTTCGGACTGTGTACAGCTTGAGTCCATTTGCCCTGCTACTGATACGTTCCTGATTATCCCCTCTTTGACCATGTGTGAGATCGTATCCTGCTCCCTATTCTATGATTATTACCCCGAATTTTTCTTCATGGAGCACCCCGATTTATTTCATCTTCCAGGGCCCGTCAAGAGAGACGTTTACACCATCTGGATTGTGCAGCACTCATTCTCACACTTTGTGGTCTTTGTATACTGAAGCGTACAATCAACTCGTTGTGTTTTGAATCAATGTTCCCACATCCCCACGGGACAATGCTCTCTATGATAACAGGACTTACCGCGTTACCATACACCATGCCTGTCGTGCCATAGATATGTTCTATCCTGGTCCTTGAAACATTCTAACGTTAAACTAGCTTTTCCATAAACTCGGGTGCTGAGTCCCATAGTTGACTTTGTCCCAAAGAAACCTTTGCCAAACAAAAATAATGCGCAACATGTGAATCGACTTTCATCGGTGAATCTCAGATCGCGGTAGGAGTTGTGAACAACTGTTAAGAGCTGATGATTCGTACGGTCTCCCGCCGACAAAAACAACTAGGTGTACTCATTTTTTAAACAGTTATCAAGCCGTACTGAACTTATAAATTACTGAGTTGTACGCTTACAAGAAATCAGTCTCAAACGGACTCGTGCCCCTCAACTGTCTTAGATGCATAAGAACATTCACCCGATGAAAAGTGCGGGAATTTGTGAGAAAAAAAATCCGATTAAGCAATCTATAAACTGACAACGTCAGTGGACTTGAAGTTGAAATATTTCATGAAAACGAATACAAAAATAACTTTCAGATTGAAGTATTTTGCAAAAGCGTTAGCAGACGTTTTGGAAACAGTACAGAAAAAATGAAACGAGGATCATCTGCCAACAAGCAACTGCTGCAATAAAAATAATAGTAAGGGAACAGGGGGAACATTTAGAACATGAAGGGCATCATATATTTGAATAGGTTATATACAATCCAGAAAAGCGCTCTGTAATGAGGTGTAGCACTGAAAAACATAAAACATTATAGATAGAAGAGCCGAAAGTCAAAACTGATAAAACCAACCGCAATTAAACCAGTGGGGTTAACGAATTAACGGCAGCAGTGCATTAAACGGTTCAATCAGAAACATAACCACTAATTTGATATCCTAAAGGTTGTCATAATTAGCCAATGGAGGTTTACTACCGCGAGGGTAGGCGGACAGGTGACTGAAATTTCCGCCTGAACTGATCCTAGTATCTGTCAAATCGTCTGCGGCCCAGTCGTTTTCGTGCACTTCAGCGCTGAGCTTCGCACGAAGCAGTTTAGGCGAGCGAGAATAATGATGAACAACCGAGTCATGTGGCTCTTCCAGATGCTGTGACAAGGGGTGTTCAAGATCAGCTGTGTAGTACATATCTAACGGTTCGTAATCCGCATGGTGCTTGTCAGTCTGGTGCAAAGTCATGACATTCTGAACAACCGAAGTGAGTTTTGGTTCCAGATGTTTTGAATGGCCAAGGAGAGGATCTTTCTGTTCTTTATTTTCCAATTTCTTGGCATCACGACGTGCTGCATTTCGATATATGATTGCCTTCCGATCACTATAGAGAAAATGGGTAATGGAGAGGAAAATGGTCAAACATCATGAACGGTATGGAACAACATCATACTATCCATACCAGTTATTTTCTCGTCATTATGTAAGCGGAGTTAGAAGTTAGTTTCACATAAAGGTGCTTGATCACAATCAACCAGAAAGCAGAAAACGTTGTATTCTATAAATCAACTGTTGATTCACTTTTTGATATACTTTATTGATGATCAATATAAAGTTCCCACCCAACCTTGATCCATCGCCTTTGCGAAGAATGTAAAACAAATGGAAAAAACAACTAAATTATTGAAAGGTGCGGGTTCAAACCTTATTATTACAATTTAATTTTCATTGCCCTATCGGTCTGTTGATCGGATACGTGTTATGCACAAAAGGAAATCTTCTCATCTATCAATTTACAAACGTGGAATAATGCAATCGGTAAAAGTGGTCCAACAATGGTTGTACTCAAGCTTCGAAACGCAACGCAATCTTTCCCCGATCATTTCAGCTTTCCCTGTACCTACACTTGATGGTCACTGGAGAGCTATGGTGCATTTCTGGCGGGAAACCACCACATCGCTGCACACGAGTATTACGTTCGTTTCTCATCACATATTCTGATTAGGATTTCTGTCGGTCAAACAGCTATAAAAACCGGTTTGTTCAGGTAATATCCATGCAAACGACGACTTTTATTATACTACTAAACCAACTGTTTTATCTATTTAGTTATCGATCTGTACAAGTCCATATGTCTTCCCCTAATTCCCGATACCAATTTTGTTTCTCTGTTATAGAAATTATACTCAAATCGAGTTACGTTATTTCTTGTTAGGCTTTCACCACTGGAAAATTAGAAGTAAATGATCGCGGTATATCAGATTTCCACATTTTGATACACAGCTAAAACCGGCCCACTGTTCCCATGATGACAGTCACAAACATGCATTTGAGCGACATCTTTCTAATAACCTGATTGAGAGGCAAGCTCTACATTTATTGACCGTTATATGCCATGCAAAATGCAATACTTTGATTATAGCCAGTTAATTATATAAAACATTTCACGGAGAAATATCTCTTAGTGCACCTCTAGCCGAACCCTTTCGTCCTCTCATAGAACGCTAATGGTTGTTGTTGAGAAAACCAGCTAGTGAACGAACAATTGTTGTTGGATATTCCTATTTATGCTCTTACAGGCGAAAAATATTTACACAACGACAGTTATTAACTCAGATTATATCCATTAATCGGAACCAGAGGATAGAGGTTTACACAAGTGTATATGAAAGAACGTTTAGATCGTTGGTTGATGTAATACATTCCACTTGGGTCAAGGGACACGTCATGTTCTGTCACAGTCCAGATTGCAGAGTTTTTGCAAAAGCATATGCAGCCGAGGCACGAGAACCAGTCATTTTTGGCATTGTGAGTGAATGGTGATCACTTCGCTACGCTAGTGCCCAAACTGGGATTGCCTTTGATCGATAAAGTGGTAGGCGATACATAACACTGAAAACTTTATCCAGCTCGACCTAACTTCTGGTGTCTACGAGAGGACATGATTGCGGGTGTCTCCTGACTTAGCTATCGCATATAGCTGCTCCTTAAAGCGTTGAAACAAGCACCTTTCCGAGTGATCTGTGTCACATGTACTCAAAAAATAAATTAACATGGTCATTTTCGGCAGAATCGCCGTTTGTTTTTCGACACTAATTGTCATTTGGATGGGGATCATTTATCACGAAATGTCTTATTACCACAACATGAGGCTCAATTGCCCAAATCCTTCATTGGACAATAAAACTGATACCACGCAAATCCGTCCCGACCATTTATTTTCCAAACCATTTCAAAAAGGTTTCTGATCTGTTTTTTTAAAGTTTCATCTACTCAATTTCATTGTCATTCTTTTGCCAGATTCCTACTTTTTTTGGACAAAGCAAAGCGGAGAAAAATGCACAAAAAAATTAATTAATTTAGTTTGGTAGGAAGCTTTGAGCACGCGTTATTCGGGATGCACAAAGAGATTCAGTTTGTTGCCAAAATAATCAGTCAGCAGTGTGCAAACCCAACACAACTGGGGATCTGAAGTCCCACCATCATGTTGCGACCTCATACATATATCCTAGGTTTTCTGTTTGTCATAATAGTTCAGTCTTCGATATCATTTACCATGAAAGGTCTCACTCACAAGGAAGACAATTCGGATTACTTCAATTTAAACGGAACAAGTCTATAGGTGCAGGCGTTCCGAACAAGAGTGAATCTTTCTGTCGTTTCGTTCGTCCGTCAGAATGCAACAAATCATTGAATAAATATCGAAGGCATTTACATACAATCACAAATCAAACTGAATTGAAACAATAGTGGACAAAAAACACTCAATGATTATCACTCGAATGATGAAGCATGAGGATTACTGTTGACACGGACACAACACTGATTCATTCAGTCAATAAACGTGACTAGCAAGATAGACATGCACAAGTGAGCTGGCCATTTCTCACATCCTACCATTAGTCAAATTTAGTTGATGGCGTGCATGTGTCGTGTTCGCAACTTACCGAAAAGCTTTGTGAATTGATATAGAACAACAGATCAGATTTAGGAGCGCAAACACGATTCCGCATATCGCAAAAACTAATGCACTTCTTCTGGCCATTTGAATGCGACTCTCAGTAGTAGCGGTATCCGTGGTTTCCATCTCAGTTTGGGCAGTCAGGGTACCCAAGACATTGGTAAGTAAAAGAAAACAAATAATCCATCCTTTGCATAACCAGGATTGGAGCATGGGTACCCCATTGAAAACAGATTTACTACTCCCTCCGATCGACATGAGAATAATAGACCAGAGAAGAGCAGAATACGAGACTCGACGTTTTCAGCTTCACGGAAGAACTTTTGCACAGTGCAACCTCAAAATCTGTACTATTGGTTTCGTGCATTAAACCAAATAGACCAATCAACATGGTCCAGGAACTTCTTACGGCAAACAGATAGGCTGATGAAAAGACAAATTGTTTTCTCTTTCTCTCCGCATTCGTCGTAGAGACAGGCGTAAATGTGCACGCAAAAACACACGCACACATCTAAGACATCATCATCACAACCCAAAAACGGGTGGAGCAATCGATCGTTTCAAGCACTATTTGTGCAAACAGCTATACCTATTCCCATGCATGCATCTAGCTCCATGAAGGTAGCACACAAGAGAATACACGCACACACTCACGCAGCTCCCAAGTTTGTTTGTATGTGTCTGACACCGAGTGAGTTTTTGCAAGAAGGTTGCACTGTGATGCCCTTAAGTGATAAGAATTCGAAAGTTAGCAGAGTGATGAAGTAAACATTATCCTATTTTATGCGATGGATAAACACCTGAGTGATTTTAAAAACTCACTATTACAATACAAATAACACATCGAACAAACATCAACTAATTTTAGGTTCACCAATATTATACTCTTTGTAGCAGGGAAAGTGGTTTTCGAACATTTTGAGAAAATAAAGCAGGACTTACATGTGATAGATCGGAAAAGAAAAGCCGGAATAGCATCTCGTCATGATTCGTTTCGCACGATCTCGTTGTGTCGCAAATGATGCTTGCGGTAGTCAAATATGATGTTTATATAGGGTTGGAAAATGGATTCTAAAATGTGAATAGGCAAAGGTCGCCAGGGTGATGAACAAGTCTTTTTGATAACACAAAACCGGTTTCCACATTGTGATGCCAACCAAATAGGATTTGGGCATTATCATTGTGTATCACTCAAAATGATTTCTCTCGATCGGCGAAGTGTTCCGTGACCACCAAATGCCAGGTAAGGGAGGTACCCTTTGTTTGAATGCAAGGCTGATACCAGTACTGGTACTTGGCTACGTTGACCCCAATATAGCAACCTTTGATTGAATTCCAGTTTCCAATGTGGTACAGCTCCCGATTACGTAACTGTTCCGCCTGAGCCGCACTCGCACTTCAATTGATAGTCACTCTGACTGAACGTGCAAAGGCGGGTATCTTTTAAAGGGGAGATGGATATGCATCTTGTTCTGTGTCCAATTCGGGGTATAGTTGAGCAACTAGTCCAGTTGATAACCGATTGTAAGTTTTGTTAGAATAGGTTTATTAGAGCATCACATGTTTGAATAACGAAGACAAATCGTGACCTCCAATCTAGACGTTCACGCAACAAAGGGTCTTTCAGTTTTTCGTTTGCTGAGCTTGACAACGCATTAGTCTGGCTTACCATTTTTTGTCAATGCATTACGTGACAAGTTCACCTCGTTTGATATTGACATCAGCGCCAATATATCGGAGTCGGTGGAATAGGCTATGAATGAACTATCATACGCAACTGGCACAGAACTGCGAAAAAATATGTAGTGACCTGTGCAAATCGATTAACGATAGACCGATGTTAACATGGCCTTCTAATAAAGTTTAGGTCAAGGTACCTCATCCTGCTATTGTGTTCCGTTTCCATGGCGAATGCTGCGATCGGTTGCGGTCGATTTAAGCCTCGTCTGTTGTAAATTATCCGTGATCATGAGAAAATCGTTTGTATAACGCAGTTTGTTCCTATAAATTCTGAGCCCAGGATTTCAGATATGCCGCAGATAAATCTAGAACTTGCCACAAAGGGTATGCAATAACAACAGTGCCACCTTGTGTCTATACATTCACTTGGAATGAGAACGAGACAATCGTAGGGCAGGGTAAGAAAGAGTCGTAACAGAATGATGGACCACTTACCACTTGTTCTGTTTCAGTATGATCAAGAGTTATTCGAAAAGCTTAAAAACGAACATTTGTAAACAATGATTGCATGTCAGGCGAATCCAAATGCTTATTACTAGTATTTAATTGATCTGATTGTTCAATCCTACCAAAATCATCTTTTCCATCATACTTGATCATGAAGTGCTTCAACAGCTATAATCAGTTGACTAGCCACATCACCGATTCTCGCTGTGGTGAGTTCTTCAGTGATAGGATTGATCTCAGTAGAAGAATTTTGTTTGCGCAAATTTCGGCAGTCCATCTTGACAAAAAGAATGACTTCCCCTTGTCCTCAGTTTCCGGGCCTTCGAGAACGCATGGGACTTCGGCAGCGATTCTCTTTGCAGTGGAGTAGAATAACAAAATTCTCTTTGGATTAAAGTTTCTTTAGGGCAACCAGATGTCTCCCTTTGGGTAGAGANCCCCCCCCCCCCCGAAAAAAAAGCAACCGGCTTAGTTTTTATTCAGCATTCTGCATTTTTGATGACAGGGTTAACGGTTTTAATTGCTGGTAAAAGTATAATACGCAAGACCGAAGTGGTTCCATGAAGACATTTTAACAAATCACTTGCCTCGAGAGTATAAAGTTCAAAGGAAAAGCATTTACTTTGAGTTCATAAATCTAATAGTAATCGAGAAGTTCGAAGAAAACAAGAAATGCTCTGGCAAGATGTGCGACATGAAATTAAACACACATCTGAGGGACCACATCAGGAGCAACCGGTCTGTGTGAACCTAACCACCGTACCGAGAGAGATAGAGTGACTAAACAAGAATCAGTAGTGAAGAGAAGGAAAAAAGGCGCAAGAGTGATTATCCTTATATTTCGGATTTCAGTGGATTTACGACTGTAAATCCCATTTGTGTGCCAATCTTTCCCTCGTCCGAAGACCGGAATTACAACTCTGTTTCAAGCTTCTGGGTGCACACCATTATCGCTAGTATAGTTTTCACCACTTACGTTCGGGTGGGGCGAGGAACTAGGAGCCTTACAGACGAATTCTCGACTGGAAGATTTGTGCTCAATTGACGTCCCATGGAAAAGTCCATCAAGTGCTTCAAGAACGTTCAATAACAAACAGATTTAACTGATATAACAAATAGATTAAGCTGATGTCCGTAGAGAAAAAGCAAGCAAATGAATACGATCCACAGTTATAAATGTAATAGGTGTTAGGACTGAGCTTAAGTAACCCGTCTGATCGCGCACGCCTCCGAGTCAGGCCACACGCACGCTCGCAACGCTCCAGACAGGCTGAGTCCAATTGGATGATCACTGAACGAATCAGCCAATGTTTGCCCGATCGATCAGTCGATATGCCAAGGACGCAATCTGATTGGTGCGTCACTGCACCGTTATCGTA